ATCTCACGAAAAATATTCACGCGATTCTCCCAGAGTTTCGAAGGTCGGATTATCTGCTGGTCTTTGTCAATCTCTCGAAATATAACTGGGAAGAGGGAGGGGGGGGCTGAGCCCCCTCTACAGCTTTTTCTGGCTACGCCCCTACTATAAACACGAAATAACTCAACTTGTTTGATTAAAACAGAATGAATATATTGAATTTTTTAATCGACTAATCATTTTTATTTAATCTTCTCTATAGAAATAAATCAATTTGATAATTCGTTAATAAAAACATATGATTGAGAAAGTAATTAACAATTAAAATGATCTTTCAATAACTAACTAGAATTATCTAAAGTAATCTCTAGTTAATGTTTCTTCTATAGAAATATTTATCGATTAGAATAATTCATTAATGTTATTTTAAAAAAATCATTTTTTTTCTTGCTTTTTTGTTTGAATTATTTATTTAGATTTATTTTCAATAGTTAATTATGAAAAAATGTGTTTACTTTTTTTTGTTCAAAATCAATACAAATTCTTTCTATTGAGAATTCTATTGAATCAAACGATGTTATATATTCTCCATGTCTAATATAAACAAATATAATATAGATAGATAATGAGAGTATATATAAATAGTTATTGATAATCGGTTGTTAATTAGTGACATCTATCATAATAGGTTATTCTATGGTTAAATATATCGTTCCAACTCCAATCAAACTGAAAATAAAATTTGAAAATGAATATGAAAAGGTTATATTATATATCTTGTTATGTAAATTTGTTTGACTGATGATAAATCACATGAAAATGTCGTTTATATCATTGATAATCTATGTAATATTGTTTACTAATGTAATTAAATCATCACCTAGTGTAATTAGTCGTCATAGAATAACTGGTTATCATACACGAGTTGAATATATAATTGATCCTGATGTTCAAATGGATAGTAAATGTTTATTTGTTTGGCATCGTTTGCCTCCTTATTTGTATATTGAACCAGAAGAACTTAATCAATTAAAAGCAACTATTATTGGTTCAATAAATATTGAAACATCATCATCTCAATCACATCCATTTGCATATTGTTTTATATTATACAATTCTTCTAAAATTCCATTTAATTATAGTCAATCATTTTCAATTAATATTCATAATCGATATTTAGATCCTGTATCTGATTATAATAAACAACATGAAACAGTTTATTTACCTGAACCAGTTATACATTTTACAGAAAAATCTTGTCCTTATTTAGGTTCAGGTTGTCCACCACCATTAACTGAAACAGGCATTGATTCACCTAGACAATTAACTGTAAATATTCCTGTTGGTCAACTAAAACATCTATCATTTGTTTATCCTCTTACTTGTTTATTTCCATTAATTGGTTGTTCATTATTATTTATATATACGAAATGAATTAAACAAAATTATATTTACATATTGATCAAATATATTTAAATCATAATACGAAAAATTTTCATAGAACTCTTTTTTATTATTAATCAATTAATTGTTAAACTTGTTTATTTCATTAGAATATTTCACAATAAACTAAGATAAAAAAAAAACGTTTATTTTGAAGAAAATAATTCAAAGAAAATTGATAAAAGAAAAAAAAGGTAAAATTCCTTTTTCTATTCTATGAAAATCAAAAAAAGAAGGTCGAGTCTGCATAAAAACAAGTTATACAACCAAAGAGACTGAATTTAACTAATATTAAAATAAAATCAAAAAATTGTATGTTCTTATGCAATAAAATCAAATTAAGAAATAAAAATAAATATTATAAGTTTTTATTATTCCATAGAATCTTTGTCAGTATCATCGATTGTTTCAGATATGTTAACAGGAAAATCAATAAGACGTAATTTTTCATTATAATTATCTAAATATATGAAAATAGACAATTTATTTTCATATAAAATTCTTAAAATAATTACCACAAGTAACTGTTTCTCCTTCTCCGTCTCCTTCTTTCATAATATCATTTCCACATCGAACAGTAATGCGTGTTTCGAGTTTATCAATGACAGAAGCATAATCAATAAATGATTCACTCTTATCTTGATTATCTTCTAAAATAAAAATCTCAAAGAAAAAACATCAAAAATTTAGAATAATTAACCTCCAATTTGTTTATAAACAACTTTTTTAATCAGTGATTTTCCTGGTTTACAACAACATTTAGTATACAATTTTCGTGGTGGTGGTGGTGCTGGTGGTAGTACTTGTCGTGATTGTAGTAGTACTCGCCGTGCTGGTGGTGGTGGTGGAGGATAATTTGATGGTGGTGGTGGTGGAATATAACTTGGTGGTGGCGGTGGAAGATAACTAGGTGGTGGTGGTGGTGGAGGATAACTTGGTGGTGGTGGTGGAAGATAACTTGGTGGTGGTGGTGGAAGATAACTAGGTGGTGGTGGTGGTGGAGGATAACTTGGTGGTGGCGGTGGAAGATAACTTGGTG